ATTGAATACTTCAGGTCACCTAATTTTCCCTTGCGCGAGTTGGGCGTGTGAGGAGTGTCACTGCAAGTTCCAACTTGCTCTTGTTTTGTTGCAACTTTCGTCATCTGTTCCTCCCGTATTGTGGGTCCATGTTGTAGAGCAGAAGCATAAGAATCCTGCCTTGACGAGAACTCTGGGTGATGGATGTTATCAGCACTGTCCCAAGATGATATACCTTGCAACCTTTTGGAGCTTGAAGACGACGTGGAGTTTTGGGCCTCTGTAGGATTGTCAAGACAGTCACTTGGTAATACATTGAGTAAATGTGGCATTGAGGAGCTGGTTGATTTTTCTGCGTGTAATTGGGGATTATCAAAAGGAGAGCCATTAAAGTCATCTGATAGGGCATCTAGGATTTCGGCCGTACCTTCGTCTGGCTTTTGACTTCTTTTCGTGATTGAATACTTCAGGTCATCAGATTTTACCTTACGCGTGTGAGAAGTGTCATTGCAAGTTCCAACTCGCTCTTGCTTTGTTCCAACTTTCGTCATCTGTTCCTCCAGTATTGTGGGTTTAAATTGTAGGTCAGAAGCAAAGAAAACCTGCCTTGACGAGGAAGTTGGGTGATGGATGTTATCAGGACTGTCCCAAGATGACATACCTGGCAATCGTTTGGAGCTTGAAGACAAAGTGGACTTTGGTGCCACTGTAGGACTGTCAGGACAGTCACTGGGCAACACATTGAGCAAATGTGGCATTGATGAGCTGATCGATTTTTCTGCTTGCAACTGGGGATTACTACAAGGAGAGCTAGTGAAATTATCTGATAGCGCATCTGGGTTTTCGGCCTTACCCTTGCCTGGCTTTTGACCTCTATTGGTGATCGAATACTTCANAAGGAGAGCCATTAAAGTCATCTGATAGGGCATCTAGGATTTCGGCCGTACCTTCGTCTGGCTTTTGACTTCTTTTCGTGATTGAATACTTCAGGTGATCAGATTTTACCTTACGCGTGTGAGAAGTGTCATTGCAAGTTCCAACTTGCTCTTGCTTTGTTCCAACTTTCGTCATCTGTTCCTCCCGTATTGTGGGTTTAAGTTGTAGATCAGAAGCAAAGAAAACCTGCCTTGACGAGGAAGTTGGGTGATGGATGTTATCAGCACTGTCCCAAGACATACCTGGCAACCTTTTGGAGCTTGAAGACAAAGAGGACGTTGGGGCCACTGTAGGATTGTCAGAACAGTCACTGGACAACACATTGCGTAAATGAGGCATTGATGAGCTGCTCGATTTTTTTGCTTGCAACTGGGGATTACTGCAAGGAGAGCTAGTGAAATTATCTGATAGCGCATCTGGGTTTTCGGACTTAGCCTTGTCTGGCTTTTGACCTCTATTCGTGATCGAATACTTCAAGCCACGCAATTTTGTCCTGCGTGGGCGAGGCGTGCGATGAGTGTCATTGGAGGTTCCAACTGGTTCTTGTTTTGTTGCAACCTTCTTCATCTGTTCCTCCCGTATTGTGGGCCCGAGTTGTAGAGCAGAAGCACAAGAAACCTGCCTTGACGAGGAAGTTGGGTGATTGAGGTTATCAGCACTGTCCCAAGATGACACACCTGGCACCCCTTTGGAGCTTGAAGACAAAGTGGAGTTTGGGAGTAATGCTGGATTTTCAGGACAGCTACTAACTTCTGTGTTAGGAAAATGTGGCATGGAGGAGCTACTCGTGTTTTCTGCTTGGCGTCGAGGAGTACTGCAAGGAAAACTAGAAAAGGTACCCGATAGGAGAATATTTTCAGTCTTAGCTTCCTTGAGCTCTTGACTTCTTTTCATGATTGAAGTTCTCAGTTCACGTAGTTTACGCCTTCTTGTGACAGGCCTGTCACAGGTGTCTTTGGGATTTGTCACTTCGGTTGCTGGAAAATTTGCCATCGCGCTCTCGCTTGATTTGCGTCTCAAAACGTCGTAGGTGTCGTTGTCGACGGGATCATAAGCATAAGGACCTGCAACAGAAAAGCCAATGTAGAACCACAAGTCGTCTTTACTTTCATATGGATAACGTGTTTCGTCAAAGCGTAGCTGAATTCCTTGGTACGTTATAACCCCCTTGAAATTGACGTCTTTTTGACCACACACGCGTTCCAGCTTCTCCGAGATCTCCCTGCTTCTCCAAAAGTCGGTCTTAGTTTCCCACTTTGTCTCTAGCCATCGAAATTCTTGGCTGGTTACAATGGCGTACAATCCAATTCCTTTTCCGAGAAAGTACTCAGCGCCAGATTTCCGAAATCCTATTCCCGTCTTGTCTCGAACGATTTTATCGCACTTTTTAATCGATAACTGTGCAGAATGACTAAAGGCAGCAAGACTTCCATTAGGAGTAGGAAAGTGGATCATGTAGTTGAAAAGATGAGCCCATTCTGAATTAGGATACTTCGCAACCCACTTGCTCACGATTTTGTCCAGTTCATCAACGGTTGGTCTCCTTTCCAGACGTAGGCAGGCCTTGCAGCAAATTAAAAGATCGTCTTGGCTTCCATAACCACGATTGCAAAGTGGTATCAGCAACTTGTATATCATGGATACGTCTCCGTCAGCTAGGTTCGCCCAGGAGCTGTATGGAGTCTCGTCAAATTTGAAAAGAATGTCTTGAACAATCTGCTGGCGAAGAGCTGGTGCATCCCTCGTTGAAGGTGACGAAAGCATTGGAACATCCACGTCGCTAAGCTGACTTCGGTCGAAACCAGTAACGTCGTAAAAGGTTCGTCGCAATTTTGATGCTCTGATTTTAGCATTACTTAAGCCTCTGATCTCGTTTTCGTCGTACGTGGTCATCTGTCGGAGCCTAACATCTCGGAAGAGCTCGTTCAAAAGATCAAGTGTCATAGTGCTGAGTCCTTGGACGTAGGTATGCTCTTCTTGGGTCAATGCGTCCTTCATTTCGTCAGGAATTTCTGATTTTTTCAAATACCTTGTAAACTTCTCACAGTCAGGACGAAAGAAAGGTAACGCCTTTACAATTTCAAGAAGAGAGACGATGGCTTGAATTTTTCCATTCATGGAGTAGTGGTTAAGTGTATGCGTCGTTTTTAGTGCTTTGTCATACACGTCTAGTGCTTTGCGGCATATATCGATCACTGCAGACAACGAGCTGGGAATGTTGAGCAGTTCTTCTGGCTTGAAGTCTCTTAGCTGTAGAAAGTAGAGAAATCCTTTTGTCACGTAGTGATGACTTTGCTTAGGCTGCTGATTTATGGCTATATCCACTGCAACGTGTGCTGCTTCAATACCCGTCTTTGGCATGTCAAGTTTGACGTCCTCTTCCTCGTTTATAGTGGTGTAAAGAAACTGATGTAATTTATCGCTTGGGTCCATTTCTTTCGCGCGCATCTCATAACCCATGAATCGAGCCAACTGCTGCCAAGCGTATGCCATCCCCTCAGTTTGGGAGGCCTTCTGGCAAATTGTGATAAGCAACCGGAGGGCTCCGCGAATGTCATTGTCCCTTTTCAGGATTTCCATGATCAAAGGAGAATACCTTGTGCGCACTTCATAGAAGCCAACCACCTCACACTCGAAGTCGGAATCGACACTACCTTCATCTGTCGCTAGATCCTCCAGAACAACTGTATCGGAAATTCTTTTGCGCTCCAAGAATAGATTGAAAACTTGCTCCTTCAAGAACTTGTTCGCATAAGCTTTTCCTTTGTGAGTCTTTTCCAAAAGAAGTATTGCGATGTCCTCGATGTTTATTCTCGACTTTACAACCTCACTGACGAGAGAATGTGCTGGCCTCCAGCCGTGATAACCATTTGTCTCATTGAATCCTTCCAGAAGAAGTCCTCCAAAGATCTTGTGAATGTGTTGCATTAGTGCGCATTTTTCTTCTGTTTCATTGCTGGCTTCGTAAAGGAAGTCACTGACAACTGGGTGGGGGAGGATAGCGCGTCCATCACTGTAATAATGAAGAAAGCAGCAGAAATTAAGGACCATCTCATGAATATCTTGAGAATCGTCCAGAAAGTCGAGAGTACTGCTGATATGGTTCTGAAGCCTTTTCTCGATCTTGTCATAGTCACGTCCGAAAAGCTCCAACCCGAACCAAATGAAACGCTTCTCCCTCTCTAGAACCTCTTCTGCACCCCTTCTTCGTTTGCTGTCACTCGTGATGTTTATTAGTATATCTTTCACAAGTCGCATCTCCTTCTCATCTAGTTGTCGAAGTGGAGTGATGTCAAAGTCAGACTTGATTTTTGATTTTCCAATAGGGAGCGTTGACAGGATGACACACTTGGTCTGCCTTTTCACGATCTTCTCAGTTAAATGCTTGGTTTCATTCTCCGGAACGTTGTCGACTAGGACTAGGACGGGAGGTGAAAAGTTAATGTTCTTGTCATCGTACAGGATTCCTTGGAGTTGCTCGATTTGATAATCTGTAGCTGGTGTTACTGCCTTAACGACGGCACATCGATAGTGTTTTCGTTTGTTCCACAGGATTCTGCGACACAGCGTTGTTGCACCAGATCCTGGTTCGTAGAGAACGGTGACGGTCTTGACATGACAGTCAAGGTCCTTATCAGGTTTAGACAATGACTTCAATGCATTTTCAATTTTCAGATTCGTATCTTCTTCAAGCGTCCTGGCGATGCAATGGTTGTGAAATAAATTTGTCTGGCTTGCCTGAGCACCCTTGTAAAAGGCATTTCTTGCTTTCTCGATATCCTCTGCTAAACGTGGCAGTCGGGGATTTGGACTATAAACTTCGAGATCATTCCATGAGTGAATCACTTTGTTAAGAACTTCTTTAAGCTGACCATTGAAATACGGAAGTTCAGTTGTTGCTCCTCTCTCTTCAAACTTTGTCGGCCCAACCAATTCTCGGACGATTTCTTTTAGCAGGCTCCAGGGAATTCCGGCAATGGAACATTCTTTCAAGTCATTCTGCAGTGAAGGTTTAGAAGCCTTGATGAATGCCTCTGCCACATTCTTGTTTTCGCTTATGATGGTGATGCAACTGCTTGCAATATTTCCAAAGATGCTAAAACAGCATTCCATGATGTCTACCATCTCCTGAACGGCATTATCACCAAGTCCCAGAAAGACACACAAAATCTTTCCGGGAGGAAAACAAAGTTTGTATGCTGAGAGGGCTCGATAAAAACAGTCTCTGCAACATTTTATCCAGTCTCCTTTCTGCATTTCCTCGTCGTTCAAAATCCAGGTTGTTCCTCTTGTTGGGAGGGTGCAATCTTTCCCAGATATCCAATCAGATGAAACCTCTTTGAAGTCATCGAGGCTTCTGAGTTTTGCTCTGGGTGCGTCTGTTGTTTCGTTGCAAACAAAGTGCAAGCCATCTATTTTCGAAGCAGCGTCAAACAAATCGAATACTGCAAGCCAAGGGATATTTTGTAGGAAAGCCAAATGTGGTGTTCGTCTGTATTGGGGAGGCAACTTGTTGGCAATTAAAATGTAGCCAAAGTCTTTAAAGTTCATTTCTCGTAATCGTTCTCTTACCACTGTACTGAACCTCTCGACGTCAGAGTCATCCGGAATAGGGCCTGTGGCAAGGAGATGAGGACTCGATAGCACCGTTTTATTTTCAGTATTACTGACATAAGGCAAATGTTTGTGTTGACAATGGAAAGGGAGGAAGCTTTTTTGCATATATTGGAGGAAAAGTTTTTTTTAAAATCATTTGACTATAAAAACTACGTAATGTGCTTACCTTCGGGTGACTCACTCGTACCTAAAAGATAACAACAACAACAAAAAAAGAAAACAAAATAAACTTCTGATTTTACACTGTGATTGAATACTACCTACTTAACCTAGAAATTAACTCACACTGTTACATGAATGAATGGCTTTAAAACTGCCAGGCATCGTTTTCACATTATCCGGCTTCCACTTCAGCATTTGATTTAAACTACAAGACTGAGAAATTGGCAAAATAATTCTTCGTATAACTATTGATACAATCATCTCATTGAAGAAGAAGTTTCCTTTCCTGGTGGATGATCCTTGAAAGTAAAAACGTGGTTTAATTCTGGAAGTGGCAAGCGTTATGTTCTACCATTTTAGATCTTTGTGTGCAACATCTATATAACTAGCTTGCGAACAGGCTCCCGGCGAGGACGGGAAAAAAGTTCGGCGAGCGCGAAACAGGAGAATTCGTAGAGCCCAGCGATCGGGGCGGGGACAGGGGAGCCTGTAGACTTTGTTTTTGATGTGTCTATCCGCCCTTGGTGATTAGCCTGTAACAAATCAGTTAATAAGGTAATTAGACCTGTCAAGAAGCTTTATTTTCTGTACTTGCAAACAGTTCTAATCGACCTAACCAAACAGCCGGGTCGGGCGTCATAATATAGAGTGCAAGTAAGCAATATGTCCACGGAATATTTCAAACTTAACTTTGTCCCTCCAGAGCCAATACTCAGAGAGCTTAAAACATATTTTGCAATACTGAAATGAGCCTAAAGAAGTCATAAGCACATGATAGAGTGTCAAACTTTGCGAAGCGACATGCAGATAACAGCGGAAAGTCCGGAAACCATGCCTTTGACCTCTAAAAAAATTTGCTATAGCACCGCCAAACGGCTCCACTCTACTAGCTTCTACTTAAAATCCCTCCTCATAACAGAGCATAAAGGAACCTTCAAAATCACTTGTAAAATAACGAGAGCTAGGTCGAGAGACCGAAACTTAAAAGAGAACTGCAAATGCACTATTGTCACGAACCGTAGGAGTCGTGTAATTTTACAAAGATCTGTCAAATATTCATTTCAAAGATGTCAACAATCAGCGATTTAACCAATCATATCATGATACCGGGAGCTGGAATCATAGAACGGCGGCATCATTAGGTTGCCTACAGGTTCCCTCCCTAGCTTCGTTCGGGCTCACTGGGAGCCTGTTCGCAGGCTATATAACCACCTCATTGAGATCAAAAGTAGAAAGCAAAAGCCCTTACCGTGTTTTGTCTTCCTCTTCCATTCCTTATACTTTGCCGTCAGAGGTTCTTTCACCTGCCTGTTAACCTCATGCTGCTTCACACTGCTGGATGCGCCACTGGTTCGAATGGCAACGTCATCAAATTCATCTTTGAGCACTTTGTAAAAGTCAGCCAGTTTCTTTGTGGATTGATCCTTCTCAATCTTGACTCCTCTTTTCTCAGTCCAGCATTTGCTGTAGTAAACATTGTCCTTACACAAATTCCAGTCTCTAGAGACCTCGATTTCGATGACATACAAGTTTGTGCGTTCTCCCTCACTCGTCACGGGAATGAACTCTATGTTGACGCAGCTCTGATCTCCTCCTTTTTTAAGGGGGCCGTCATCACTCTTAATGTGGTCATCAAGGACGGATTGAAAAGCCTTCATTATGTCATCTATTATGTCTTCCACATCAAGCCCGAGAATCTCGCCTCGTTTAAACTTGGAATTCTGTTCTTGACAATCTCCAACTCCGAAGTAGATAATGCCTTTATTATCAGCATTTAAGCAGGCACAGATGAACTTTTTTGCTTTGTCCATGATTTTCCAAGGAAGTGATGAAGGCTGTGCACTTGTGAGAGATTTAAATTCAACTTCCCTGTTCTCTTCTGCATCGAGGACAAAGCCCTTCGGATAAGATGTGTCCTTGCCTTTGCCTCTAAATGGCCTTGGGATGCCTGCATCAAAGTTGCGACATAGTTATAAATATCTTGTTTGAATTGTAATTAGAAACTAGAACTTTTGCCACTTTAGGGTATACTAGTTGCGAGAAAAGCTTCTAACCAAAAAAAATTTAATACAAAATCACGCACAAGTGGCGACCTTCTGTTTTTGTTGCTCTCTCAGATGCTTGAGCGTCAGTTAAGACAGAATCAAAATATTAAAGTTAGCCTGCAACTGAAAAACTTGTGTCTCTCCTGGAATAATTACGCCCTTGAGTCTTGGCATATCTAAATTGGACCTCATTTGCTCTCCGTAGAAAGCAGTCAGAAAGTCGGAAGGTTCATTGAAAGCCATGATTGTTATTAATACGTGTCAAGGACCCAAGGATGATTGTCTATATGTCTATACTTACATCTTAAAACTGGTTCAGAAACCTCCTTGTCGTTTTCTGTCTCCAGCAAGTTATTTTGTTCTTCTGATCCAATCCCTTGGTTGGAACTTTCTGCAGTGATTTTTTGTTTCAAGGAAGTGCCGTCACTTTCCTTTGCATCGTGACTGGAAACCAATTTCGCAGACTGCATTTTCTCTGAACCAGAACTTTCATCTTTAGAAATTAATTGCTCGGCTGCATCGGAGATAGTCAAGTCGCTTGGTGAGGTCCTCGTCATCGTGGTCAGATTACGCTTGAGTATATTCCCATTTTCATCAATCAGGGTGGTGCACCCTCCAATCAAATCGCTTATTTTATCTTCCCGTTTAAAGGTGAGCTCCCTCTCGCCTTCTTGTGTGGAACAGTCAGACTCATTCAATGTCAAGTCTGCGAAAAGTAGAAAAAAACTCATTCATTCTAATGCAATACAATTGTAGCAAGAAATATATGAATGAGGGATGTGGATAACTCAAAATAGATTTAAAAAATAATTTAAGAATTGGCATTGATTACTGAGAGTTGCCTGCTTGCTTTGAACTTATTGGATAGATTCTAATAAGGGTGACCTTTGACTGTGTCAAGTTGATTGCTGGACTGTTTGTTTGTTTGTTTGTTTGTTTGTTTAAAGGTTAAGTCTGTGTGGCCCATAAGGCCGGCGTTTGTCTCCAGTTTCTGTAGCATTAAGCAACTAGTAGTACTGATATTCTCCCCTGGGTGGGATGCTAGTCCATCGCAGGGTTACTGCATTAAATTTGCTGGTACCCATTTATACACCTGGGTGGAGAGAGCCACTGTGAGAGTTAAGTGTCTTTCCCAAGAACACAACACAGTGTCCCCGGTCACGGTTTGAACCCGGACCGACGAGCGCGCTAACTATGAGACCACCGCACCTCCCACTTGTTCAGGGAAATTAATAATGTACTCAGAAGAAAGAATTTGCAGTTCTGTGTGTAGCTAGACAAGACACTGCTGTTAGGATGGCCGATAATGAGAGGTCCACAGTAAAAGTAAGAATCGAAACAGCCGTAACTGGATGTACAAACTCGTTGGCAAATAGTAGTGAGATACGCAACGTCACTCTTTCTTTTAAGACTGGCAGTAAACTGAAAATCATATGCATTAGGTGTTATTTTTATTTTAAAGTGACAAAAGGCAGTGAATGTAATAATCACTTACGTCTTTCTTCTGAAGATGTAATATTTTCTTTCTTGCTCTGTTCGTGGCTTTCATCCCCTACCACTACTTTAGATTCGATCCAGGCTTTCGTTTCTCCTGTCTTTGCAGGGAATTGGTGGTTAGCTTCTTTATTTAAAGTCACAGGGTCGGACAGCAAAGTATTAAGCTCCATTGTGCCAGTGGAAAAACCAGCTTCCTCGACTATGGACGTCTCGTTTTCATGCTCTTTATCGACACCAAATTTCGTAGCCGTTGCCTTTTCATTTGCCGCGTTCACTCTTGTGGTATTTTCTTGACCCTCCTTCGCCCTAGCATCGCTCGATCTTTGCACTCCATGGTCTATAAAGTCATACAAAGAGAGACATTGGTTATATTTCTGACAGGATCTCGTGAACAGGCATGCCCTACACAGCGATAAGTAAATTGGGCTGTGTTATGCCGAATCAAAACAAAACGACTGTTGGGCAAGCAAATAAAATGAAATTGGAATCCCTGAATTAAAACATTGCCCATAAGTATGTACAACTATCACTCAAGCGAATACGGCAATGCTTTTCATGCGTTCTGATCTGCCTCTTCCTCAGTCGCCCGCGCGATAGTAAAAAATGTAATAATTAACCAGCGAGGAGGGGCACAGGGAATCATGAAGAGGAGAAGAAACACTTCCCATCGCTCCCCGCGCTCCCTTCACTCGCTACCAGCTCCCGCTCGTACTTTCTTGCTCACTGCCAGTCTCCCAATCCCTCTTTGCGCTCTGAAAAAAGCCAAAAAAGAAAAGCCTGTGGAGGAGGCAGCGTCCTGATTGGTCAACTCGGAGGTGTATTCGACTCCGAAAAGAAAAAGAATAGCTTCCCGTCTCGCTTCGGTTACCGAAAAGTCAATTTTTTATCTGCTGATTTTTCAGCTTATGTGGTATATACTACTGTTACTAATAACAATAATCTTTACGAAGGAAGCTCCCGTCACATTGCGTTGTTTTCAGGGAGGTCCTCAGTAACTAAAGTAAAATAGAAGAAAACATTAAAAACTAATCACAGTCAAATCCAAGTACTAATAAAAAATGGAAGTAAAAAAATGGAAATCACTTTTAAAATTTCAACCTCTGAAGTAACGGCATTCTAAAACAATTATTCACTCCATTGTCGGTAAATAATTGTCAAGTATATTATATTGATTTCAAGAATATATGGAGTTGAGTTAAGTGGCAATCAAGCTGTATTACTAATTCTCACAGATACTGATTTGTACTCGATCGCAGGATACTCTCCTGCATTTATATAGTAGTCGGTGCTCTTTTCTACACCTCTGTAGGAAGTCCAATGAAATGCACAAGTTGGGCATGTTTCATTACAGGAAACCACAATTATAATCACTTTACGTAATTTCTCAGCAAAGAAACTAACCCGAAATATCTGTCTGGTTTACTGTCGTCTTGAAATCTTTGCCAACTTTATGAGTTTCACTCGTTTCATCTTCTTGGTGATCGACAACAACAAAGTCCCCTTTCGGGAATCCATTATTAAGAGCTAAACGTGTTGCGTCTTTCTCTGTTGTCTCTTCTTGGGAATTGCTCAGGGACTTACTGAAGGAAATCGTAGCATCAGTATCTTCGGCTTTGTGATCTGTTGGATAAAACAACGAACTTTTGAAATAGTGTAAGGCCTATAAGTCCTCGCTTAAAGGCGATGCACATGTAACAGTAAATTGCATCGATAGAATTTGCCTTTCAGTTTTCAGTTCCATTGTTGTTGTACGTTGGTAGAGAATCAGGACCATCGGTGAAAAACCAAATGTCCTGTAAATACACGAAAAAGGTGCTGTCTGTTTTGAGCGTCGTATGAGAGTGAACATATCCTCCAGTTCTGTTGATTTGAAAGTTTCGTTACCGGCTTTAACCAACGCGTTACAGCAGCAGCAGCAGCAGCAGCAACAGCAACAGCAGTAGCAACAGCAACAGCAACAGCAGCAGCAGCAGCAGCCACCGCAGCGGAAACAGCAGCAGCAGCAGCAACAACAACAACAACAATGACAACAACCGTCATTGTACCCTTAAGTCTCTTTTTAGTAACGGTGTTGCTTGGTTATCTTTAGCAACGGTTTTGCTTGGTTAATATTTGTCTATCGTTTCCTCGTCATGCATTTCTTCAACCTACCAGATTGACACTTTTGGTTGAATCTGCCACGTTGAACACTTGTGGAGTTTTGCTTACTCTCTCGAAGCTCTTGTGTAAGGCAACAATCAGATGGACTTAGCATGGAGACACTCAATGTTGTTTCAAGAGAAATTTTGCTGGCCTCTTTTAGCGTAGACTGCACAACTGCCTCATCTTCTTTGTCCGGTTGTCGCTCGGTAAATTTGCCGGCAGTATCCGCCCTTACACTGGTAGTTTCAATGACATGATGGGCTACTGGAGGTCCCTCTGTGGTTGCATAGTCTTCACTCTTTGGATCAGATGGACTGCCATTGATATCTTCTTTTATCTCCACATTCTTCAAGATTGCAACCTGTCCACACTTTGCAGGGTCCTGCAAATTTTCCTGAGGTCGGGATGTTTCTGGTGTGGGAGCAGTTAACGTTTCTGGTGACGTACAAAAAAACGTGCACAGGGAAAAATATCACCAGTTGTTCTTAGTCTGAATTAATTATGTTTACGCTCCTAGATGATTCCACTCGAGCGCGTTGGATAGGAAATGGTACAGTTGGAGCCCGTTTATTCGCACTCGAATATTTCGAACTCGAATATTTCGAACTCAAAACTAGTATATTTGCCCTTCAGTCATTTACTATCGGCTATTTCGAACTCTCGCTATTTCGAACTATTTTCCGTTTCCCATGAGAGTTCGAAATAGCCGAGTACGTTGGCTATAAGCATCTCATATCCAACACGCGCAAGTGGAACTGAATTGTTTTATCAAAAACTCCTCCAAAATATAGCAAAAAAAAGGAACTAAAATAAAAATAAAAACTCCCCCAAAAATCACCCTTACGCTTACCGTATTTGTGGAGCTTGGTATAATTAACAATTATTCCATGAGCGCGCGTTGGATATGAGATGGTAAATAGCCAACGAGG